CTTGGCAGGAGGGTGCATGTGGCTCTGTCAGCTGTTGGGGACCGCCCCCTGTCCCCCCACTGGCCATGATTCAGCCAATGGGAGCAATGAGGGGGAGGTGCCTACATGGACCCCTTCCCTTCAGTGTGCAACCGCTTCCTCCCCACCGCCAGGGTTATAGTTGGGTGAGGCTCACCAGACTTGAGGCCTTCTCCCCCCTCCCCATCATTTGCTCTCCCCCATGCTCAGTCCATTTCACTGAGTTGGGGTAGGGGGGCACGGGCTCTGGGGTGGGCTGAGGGGTTTGGGAGGAGGAAGGGGTAAGGGGCACGGGCTCTGGGAACGGCTTCCAGGCTGGGGCAGTGTTGGGGTGGACGTGCAGGGGGCTCCAGGCTTGGGCAGCGTCGGGATGCAGCAAGGAGTAGGACTGGATACTGGGCTAGTTGGACCTTTGGTCTGACCCAGTACGGCTGTTCTTCCGTCTGACATCCCCTTACACTGCAGAGACAGCTGTGTGGGGGTCCCCCTGTGCACTCCACTCCCTCCTTTTAGCTTCCCCATTTTTTTCTTTATTTTGTTTTCATTACTTGCTGTTTAATACATTGTATTTGCTCTGCAATGGGCAAGGAAGAGGTTGCAATGGGGACAGGACCAGGGAGTGGGGACACCTTTGCCTCTGCCCTGGCGGATGCCATGCTTGGGGGTCGATCCCCACAAAGCCCAGGCCCAGCCTTTCCAGGGTACCGGGGATTATTGTGGAAGCGGTGTCCTCAAAGTCAGGCAGGCACTGGGTGAAGGGACAAGGGGAGAGGATTCAGATCCCTCTGCAAACCAATTCCACCGGGTTAGAGCATGAGGCAAGACAGTTCCCCACAACAGAGGGACCCTGCCCCCCACTTTCCTCTGGGCTTATTTATGGGTCTGTTCTAAAGTTACTCACATTATTAAGGAAAAGTTTCCGAGCGGCCCCAGTGGTCGGGGCTGCCCCACTCTGAGGCCACCAAACATCCCCCCAGTCTGGCTGCTCCCGAGGGGTCTGTGAGCGGGGCAGAGCCAGGCCCAGGGGCGCAGCGCAGCGCGGATGGCGGGTGCCTCGCTAGGACCCAGCAGCAGCAGCAGCAGGCGCGGGGGGAGCGATCGCTGGCTCCGGCCCGGCCGCAGGAAGCTACTCG